CTGATCCTTGTCAGTGTGGTCAGGAATAACCCATTCCATCAGATTGTTTTCAAATGCAGTCAGTAAAGGAACGGCTGAAATGACTTCTCTCTGCGAACATTTTCGTGGAATGGGTAATGCAAACCTCACAACAACGGTGGGGGTCTCTGCTGCTACAAATCAATTGATACCAGAACAGAAGACGAACTGGCGTGATTTTTTGTGAGGATAGCATGAGCAACATGTTCTTCCAGCCCAGATCTTCGTACAACCGGCTTCACGATATCTATGAAGACATGATCATCGGAACCAATTCGATGCCTCCATGGCTGTCGGATGTCTTCATCCCATTCAGTGGGGTCTCCTCCTAAGAAAACTATTTTCGGTTCGCGACATATCTCATTGGTTTGATGGTCAACAAGCCACGTGTAGATCGAAAAAATGAATTCCTGATCTGCATCACCGCATTGTTCCAATGGAGCCACCACTCATTGAAGGTCCAGAAACCAGTCTTGAGGGATAGACTCATCTGAAGAATGATTGCTTCCTGCCAACATTGAATCAAGGTTATCATTGTGATCATGAGAAGGCATTTGCATGAGATGAGCTTCATCGGTCTCGACATGTCTCTGCGCAGACAGTCTTCTGATCTCATCCTCCTCTAACAAATCTGGTGAGAATCCTGACCCAGCTTCGTCATTGAGAATAACGTCATATACATCCTGATCAGAAAGACCACGTTGAGTCAGGTCAGCAATTACCTCGGTTGAACACGCAAACCGATCAGATGGAGGGATTGCAATTCTGATGTAATCTCCATGTGCCAATGTTTTTCTGTCCATGTCATAGTCTGGCCAGCGTCGTGTGTTGATAAAGACAAGACATCTACCATTTTCTGCACGGCAATATCTATCCACTCGAGCTGTTGCCAAGACTTCATTTCGATTTGCATGTCGGGACACAGGAACAACATGTCTCATGACTGTTGGACCAGACCTGAAATGCGCCTCAATTCGATGGGCATGATACTCAATGTCAATCAAAACCAATCTGTAGCTAGTGTCAGGAGGAATGTCACCATTGATGTGAACTATCGTAGGCACTACGCCAGGTTCAATGTCAGACGGAACACAGACAACTTCATATGCGTCAACCAATGCATCTCGGTTCAATGCAAAGTGATGAGCAATTTCCCTCATCATGTCGTCATAGTTGTGCCAACTAACCAGGGCTCGGATTGGAAGGTCATCCATGTGATATAACAGGACATCTTGGCGGTTTTCCTCTGAGGAAGGAGGCTGTATATCAGAATGCTCAGGTCCATCACTTGGTGAATAACCGTCTGATTCTTGTTGGATGTCTTGATCCGAGCTGGAGAGATCATCACTTTGATACATCTGACCTTCTTGAAACGCCTGGACAGTCACTGCATGTTGGTGATCAGCAGGCGCATTCTTGAAAGCAACTCTGGCTGGCCGACTTGTCTGCACAAAACTAGTGCTTTCCTCTTGATCAGTTTTGGTTTTGCCATGATCACTGACATCGCTACTGATAAACAAACACATGAGGAAGACCAGAATGACCATCTACAGGAGAACCAGTTTGTATTTCTGTTTTGTTTGTTGAACAAGCTTTCAAAGCTGAATCGGATCTTAGAAGTCTACTTGGATGTTTACATGCCAAGGAGTTTTCCCTGCGTGAGTTGACCTTTTTGCTCTTCTTCGTCCAAGGTTTTTCACGCCATTCAGCCAAGTCTTCATGAAGAATCTCCACAGTTCCCATGGCCATTTCATCATCGAGCCCAATGTGGAGCAAAAGCATTGATTTGAATTGCACCTTTTTGGTCCTATGAAAGCCATTGGTGGATCTAGAAAGGCAAGATGGTGGCTGGTGGAGTAAATCATTAGAGAAAGGCAACTTTGCGGTCTCTTGACAGGGCATCATCGGAGAGTTGCTGATGTGGAGCAAATCAAGCTTGGGAGCAAAACATGCTACAACACTTTCAGCCGACGAATTGGAATCGGTATAATCACATTGAGCCTTCACATGAAAGATGTCACAATCAAACATTGATTCAGTGGATGAAGCATTGCAACAACCTTCTGTCAAGTGAATGAGAGCATCTTGGAATGATTGCCTGATCAGTTCCAACGCAAACTCCATGCCGATAGAACTGCTGTAAAAGGATTGCGAAACTCAAATCTGTCATCGGTATACTGCCGCCAATGGATTGTGAAATTGTCGAAATCATCAAAATCAACAGGTGTAGCCCAAGTGCATGCTGCATGCATGGTTGGCGTCCATGCATAGGCCTCAACACTAAGACCACATTGTGTGGCGCCATGCAAGTCATTCTTCTGAACTGACAGTGCACCGCCATCATTCACGCATCTTTGTTCTCCGTTGCAGAGGGCTTGGATAGAGCACCACCACCAAATGGCTCGAGGGAACGAGGTCTCTTTTGCCTGTTCTGATCCACGACTTTGGAGGCATCGTCGTCCGACATCACCTCTGAGAGCCCCTTGTGCTGTCCTTGATTGGTAAGATCGAGGCCTAGGGATGCCGCGCAACTCTGAAGCACAGTCTGTAACTGCTCTTGCATTGCTTCTTCTTCGTTGTCTGCATCCAGGGTCAAGTCTTCCGTTTCTGCGGAGACAGCTGTGAGAGGAGGCATAGCTGCCAGAGTGGCTTGCGTGGCCTTTGATGACAGCGCCTGAATGGCATTTCGCGCTCCTTCTATGTCCGCTCGGGCTTTGGTGGCCACTTCCTGCAGAGATGCCTGTTGTTGACGATATTCGTGGAGCTGGCCCTCCCAAGTCTTTGCAGCTTCTGTCACATGCTTGGTCCAACGAGCTCTGTGGACACGCTTGGCCTCCAACGTCTCTGTTAACGTCTTCTGTGCCTTGCCAAGCGCCGTTGTGGCTGAGTGCAAATTCTTGGTGGTCGCTTTTGAATGTTCCTTTTCCATCTTCTCGATATCTGCTTCCATTTTGAGAATCAAATCTTTTGTGTCCTGCGGCATCATGGCAGGATCTGTGTATGCTGTCTTCAAAGCTGTCACCACCTCCCTCTTTTGCGCAATTGTCTCGTTGGCCTGTAATGCTGCAAAGGGGGATGATGTAGGAACAACTGAAGGCATAAGATTTGATGCCGTATTGTCGGGTGACGGCCATGGTGGAAGCTCTGTCGCCAATGGTGCAAAAGGCGTCTGCAAGGTCGAAGCACTGGCAGAGTCTTTTGCTTTGCCTTTTCCTCCTTTGCCTCTTCCCTTGTTCTGGCCTTTCATCCCTTTGCGGCTCTTCTGAGTCCTGTATGCATCTGATTTTGCACTCTTTGTGCTGGCTTGAGACTGAGACCTCGATTGTGATCTGTCCCATTGTCGGGATGCACCAGGATTTTCCCAATCGTCCCACTCCCGGGACCATTCTTCCCATTCTTTCCAGCTGGCATTCTCCTGATGCTGCGGCTGTTGTTTGGGCTGAGTATTGTGACGAGTACCACTCGTCCAGTGTGCGGCACAAAGCACACACTTTATAGCTTGTTTTTTGTTGATTCTCTGGCAATTTGTGCACCGCCAGGGCCACAACTCCATCTCCACGATCTGCTTGGAAATGCGCAGCAAAAAATAGTTGTCTCTGGAATGATGGGCAGACAATGTCTGCCTGACTCTTTTCAGGCGTGCCCGGTTCAAAATCACCAGACCCTTCCGATGTAAGAACCAGTCTCGACGTGCACTTTGCCTTTGCCGCCGATTGCGCCTTCTCTGTGTTCCAGTTTGTGTTGGAATTTTGAATAAGGTCAGATCCAACAAAAAGCAGAAGAAATAGAAGAAGGAATGAGCACATATATCAATTGAAAGGTGTGACTCCGCTAAAGTGCCAGGGCGTTTCCAGTTTAGCACAATACTCGGTCACAGAATTGATCCACAAGGCAATGCCGAAATGCAAGTGGATTGAGAATTCAAAAATGAATCAATTGTAAATGTATCACTCGTGTCTCAGTGTAGGCCACTGCAGAGCCAGTTGAACGCAAAATTGAAAACCACCGGTGATCGGCCACCGCAGAGCCAGGGGATAATCAAATATTCAAAAAGCACTGAAGACCAAGTCCACCTCAACGACAAAATGTGAATTGCAAATATGGGCCTGGTGCACCAGCGCAAAGCAGTTTAGTGCTATCCAGGACAATAAGAGGAAGTACCGGCTGACAGATAAATAAATTGGGGACAAGTCTACCCAAAATATCAGCAGCGCAGCACAGACACTCAAGGTCTGTCAAAAGTAGACCCGTGGGCCGTAATGTACGGCCCAATCAGGCTATGGCAGGGATCCACGAACCGAAGACAGAGAGCGACGGGGGGAAGCCTGAGCCAAGCCTTGGGATATATATACCATGAATAAAAATATATATATATATGTTTATATATATATATTGAAAATCCCCATGAAATGCCCTTGTTTCGGTTAGGTTCTTGTTGTTACTACAAGTTACTAGCCTCATTTTCCTTGATCCAGTAAGATCCCCCTAATTGTGGTTGGTTCAAAAAGGGCCCCCCGAATAGTTTATTGTGTGTGCCATCTATCCGATAAAACAAGAAAATGCAAAAATCTGCCATTTGTAGCTATTTGATGCTATTTGCAAAAGCCATCTTAAGGGCACCAAACAAATAATATATATATATATATATTGATATTATATATATATACACACCTGCATATGACATGTAACATGTAACATGTAACATGACTTATGAACAAGTTCAAGTATGCAAATATATATATATATAATTATTATCCCCGGAATATGGCGTGCCAAATTTGCAACCTAGAAATCTCTATACTTGTTAAACAGGTCAAGTATACAAGTATCCCGTGGGGTATGCCATCTGTAAAGCCTGTATACCTCGTGTTTGCTGTTTTTTGAGCTTAGATGGCATTTTTGATGTTTTTTACAGATGCCAACTATTCGAGGGCCCCTATATGTTGGGTTTTCATAGCCTAGCCTACAGAAGCCTCATCCACTCATGTTCGTCGTCCAAGAATCATAATGATATGATCTCGAAAGACGTGTTCCTCGGCCCGCAGCTTGGCTCCATGGTCATAGAGAAAGCGAAGGCCATCCGTGACCTTGACTTAACACGGCTGGAGAGCTATGGTGATACCGTTAAGATGTGATGTTTATGTTGTTATTATAATTATATAATATAAATATGTGGCTTATAGATGATTAATGGTTTAACAAATGGTTTTACACGGTAATCAATCTTAGAAGAGTTTGACACGATTTTCATGTGATTTATATATGGTTAATTTGGTGGTATTCAACGGTAACATATCAAACATATGACACATTGATATCTGACCCTTCATAATTTAACCTGTTGGACAAATCACATTCTTGATAATTCACACTTTGGGTATTTCGCGTGTGTGACATCTCACTGAATATCCCGCTGAGAGATACAGAGGGTAATTCGGGAAAGAGAACATGCTCATGCTGGCGATGCTAAGATGTGTAACAAATACATCGTAAAAATCCCTACAGGTGCAAGAAACAACATCTCAGATTAAATTTGGGCAAGCATGTAGGAACAAGAAACCAACAAAGAAGTCCAAGATAAGGGTGGCTATGAGCCGCAGCACCCAAATGGTACCCTAAGTCATAGCTGGTTAATGGATGTGTATTCCCTCGATAAAATACGGTAAACATTGGTACCCATCCCCAGATAACGGCTCCAAGGGGCAAAGTCGTGGCACATGGTGGAACGCACCAGAAAGCCTCGGGAATTCACATCCGCCACCTGCGCACCAGTTGGTACACTTCATAACACCAGGCCTAAACGGTTTATGGTAGAATCATCTTGTTCATTGTCATGGTGGTTATAACATGTTATACATCTACCTTTAACACACATCCACTTATACATCTTATACCACGGAGGGGCACAAACTTGTACGGTGGGAGCTGCGGAAAGGGTGAAACTTGATGTGGGTGAGCATCAACATCCCTGTATTTGTTCCATGTTTGCGTGCCCCGTAACTGTGAAGCACACAGTGCACAGTTCTAGTACGTTTTAGTGTATTCAGGGCCCATAGTCCACAATTCACACGGCTCTCTTCATGTTCTCTGATGACTGATAGAACCACAAGGATCAAATAGACATAGATGTGCTTCTTCAGGGACTCCCCCTGCCAAAATGATCTACCATCTGGTTATTTGTGCCATAGCCATGGAAAGATCCACCATTTTTAATAGGTAAACCATCTATTTCTATGGGCCATTTCCCATGGCGAACTGTTAAATAACCAGAGGGTAAATGTCCATTCACAATCTCGGCTCCTTTTCTCGACGCTTTTGGCATCGCCCCTTGCAGAGACTGCAGGAGTCACGTCTCCGTCGGTGAAGGCAAATGTCGCGACCTCCACACAGAACACATCTTGTCTTGCGCATCTTGTGCGGGCAAAACTCGAGGTGGTCCTGTTGGTCTTTTGCAATGGGAAAATCTTCCAGAGCGATCCAGGGGCTTTTGTAGGCCCTACCCACCGTAGTACCCTGCCCGGATCTACATTTGAAATGACCCCTGTGTGGAACCAGCACGTGGATTTTCTGCGTACGCGGGTGTCGCCAAAACCATGCACTAAGTATCAAGTGGTCATCGCAATGTGCGCACTTTAAACGAACTTCTCGGTCTTGGTCGGAAAACACTTCTGGCAGATTCCTCACTATTGCATTTGGCCGAAAAACACCATGAAGCGAAGAAGCCTGTTTCGAAAATTCGAGTCTCCGTTTCCGCATCTTGTTTCTAGGTGAAAGCTTCGCTTCTGGCACCCTTTTGGTGCTTTCACCAATCCCTTGGCCCAACAGAGATTGGAGTTCCTGCCATTGAGCCTTGGCCTTCGATGGGTGGGTGTTGGCCCACAAATCCACCTTCTCCAACAGTCCTCCGATGTAAATCAAGGAGGGTTGCACAAATTCCCGTGTATCATGATCCTGCAGGTCCAAGTGTGCCAGCGCTAAAATCAGGAGCTTCCTGATTCGCGGCTGCAAATTGACGCCAAAATCCACGCTCTGATCGCTGGTGGCTTCGATGCTGTTTTCTTTTTTGTTGAAGAAGACCGGGGCACGGAGCCACGCAGCGCATCGATTCACCAATCTGCAGAGTTCATTGCCCAACTCCTTGGACGTTGCTGAAAAGAGGTGCCAACAGTTGGTGAAGATAGTCCGTGGTATAATTTACTATAATTTGGGCTTAAGTACTTTCTCAGACAGTGTTTGGATCCATAGGGACTAGTTAGCACTAGTTACTAGTTTCCTGAGTGGATTACCATGCATTACCCGCTTTGCGCAGGTCAAAAATAAAGGCCTGGAGGACCACAGACTATTAACCATCCAAGTATTGGGGTACCCAATTTTGACCCGCGCCGCACGGCCCGTACCTGGAATAGAAAAACAGGGTGCAGATAGGTGAAGCAAATCCAGGACACAAGGAGGTTGCCACTGTTCAAATAATTCTTGAGCTGCTCTTCTGCATGGGCCAACATCTGAAGCTGCTCTGCTGAATCAGCGTTGCCAAATCTGGCCAAACTCTTGCAGAACCTCTTCCCTCGTGTCTCTGCGTTTGTTTTTGAACCTTCATGGATTTCAACGGGCTTTGACGATGACGTAGGCGCCGCGTCGGATTGGACTTCAATGTCTGCAGCTTCATTTCCACTGCTCAATTCGCGCAAGGCGAATGTCACCCTCTGCCCAATCCTTAAAGCGACGCATGAATGCGAGAACGGCACAATCGAGGACGTACCGAGTGTGTTCTGGTACTGCAGACATCCGGACAAACCATAGTTCAGCTGGCACACCAGCCCCACTGGCATTCCATCTGGAAAATCTTTAGTAATTTTACAGTCATGCACCTTGTTTCTGACACCTTAAAACCTTGGGTGCAATGATGTGATGTGTTTGGGCATAACCTGCCATAAAATGGACCCGCCGTATCACCTGCACCTCTACATTACTAATATTGTGTTCAATCGGATTTGAAGGCTTCACTGAGCCTGGAAGCTGATAGGAGCATCAACCTTAAGATGTAGTTCTGAAGTAGAAAACATTGCACTTGTGCATTGCCCAAAAATACCTTCAATCATTAGCATATCACCGGCAGTGGGGGACGTACCCATAATGTAAGCTACATGTTTCAAGGTGTTTTTGAAGGGGCATTGAACATGTAAGCGTACATTTTGAAGGTATTTTGAAGACCCTGCCCACAAAAACGACACCTGGGGAACGTGCAGCGACCAATAAATGTTACATTTAAGGGGGGGTCCCCCAAAAATGTATCTTACATTTTGATATGGTCCCTCCTGAAAAGTAGCCTTGGGTGGTGATATTAGCATACCACCGGCACAGTTTCAACTTTACAACAAACATCCAACACGTCAATATCTGTTGAGAGGATCTTAATCACGTCATCTCAAAACGACAAGGAAAATCATAGAAAAATCCACATGATATAGTGATGAACTCACATACGGTATATTTGGAGTAGCATATGATCATCAGTAATACAGTAATTTTATATATAATATATTATATAATATCACATGCAACCTAAAGCATCATCTATGGCTTTGAACAAACACCGTCATCCCCAAACATCCCACTCGTTCGGATGCCTCCAAAGGTTGAAAGGCGCTATGATTTGGAGCAAAGCTGGCCGCCACCCAATCTGTGAACCTCTGCGCGGTGAACCTCCAAAGTTCTATTTTGTTCGGAGCCTGAAACAGGAGGACTAAGTGACTAAGTGGCTCCTAGATGTGCCTGAAAAGAGGAGGGAACTCTGAACAAATATGGCAATTTGATAGGGATGGATGGGTTTGTCCTCAAGGCGTTAAATCATGATACAATTTGACGGGCACCCCTAATTCTTGGACGAACCCGAACCTTTCTCAAGTTGTTTGCATCTAACGCTTGCATCTGAATTTGATGAGTGATACAACAAAATATGATGAGTGAGCTACCCTCAATTGACCAACAAATTACCTTCTGGTAATCAAACGTGAACATGGAACAAAAAAGAAACCTAAAACATAAACATGCTCAGGTGCCATTGCCATGTGAGATTGTACCACAGGGTAACAAATTAGAGTCTACATCCCGATGAGTCATGGATCCGTGCAAGATTATGGGATGAAGATCCAGTCTGTGACACCGCCTCCAAGACGTGAGGAGATGGGAGGATCTTACGCAGAGCAAGATGGGGAGATGGGCAGCAAACAACAGTTTTTTTGGCGATGCATGAATGTCGCACCATTGAAAAAAAAACACATATTCGATATCCTGCATGTGTTGCCTTGGCTGGCTAGTAAAAAATATATATATATATATATTGATACATATTCCATTTATAGCAAATTGAACTAATTCAAAATTATTAAAGTACAAAACTACTCATCCAAGGTTGCCCCAGAAAAAATGGTTTCAATCCACTTGCTGACAAATGTCTTCATGAATGTCCGTCCAGTGGAAACTCCTGCGACATTCGACTCGATGGAGAAGTTCCGTCTATAGATGGACCCTGAATTGCTTTAGAGGAAAAGAAATGAAGAAAAGAAAAGAAACACAACATAACATACCCTAGAAATTTCAATTATGTTTGCCTCTTTGTCTTTTCCTCTTGCGTAAGCCCGAAGGTCAAGGTATGTCAAGGTCAACTGCCGAAAAAAATATCGTCTGTCCTATGGCATCTTCATACTTTGTTGATTGCCTTGATGAATTGTTTTTTCCTTCTGAACTTAGGCCTATACATGCCTGTTGATTTTGACAGTGATGAGTCGCAGGAGACCCACTTAAAATCTACGGAAAATGCAATTCACTGAGAAAAAAAATCGAGTTGGAAATGTCTTGGACGTGCATCCCTCCATGGAAAGATCAAAAAGGTGCCATGATTCATTCCCGCACCAAATCATCTCCATCCTGGGTCTCCAGTCCTATGCGAACAAAGCGTTCGTAATTTGAGGGCCAAGTGAGCTCCAATTGCGTCCTTCCCCGGCGCCGGATCTTGCTGGGCATGGGGTGGCCCTTTTCTCGAGCTGGTCTATAGTCTATGTTCCGTCATTGACGGCACACAAATCAGCCGCGAAAAAAACAACCAGAGAATCGAATAGACACGTTGCGCCTGGCATGGTTGGACCAATGCAAGCGGTAGTCGCCCAGCAACACCTGCTAGCCCGCAAAGAAAGGGATTCATGCAAGGACACATGTAGATTTAACTCATTTGAGCATCAAAAACGGCTGGTTGGGGGTTTCAACCCCCCTGACAAATATTAGTCAGATTTTATCATCATCCCAACTATTGAGGAAAATAAAAAATGTTCCAAACCACCAACCAGATGGGGATTCGAATGGATTCAAGCATCAAAAGCAAGGATCCATCAACAGAGTGGATTCAATCATCAAAACTGGTAATCACGTGTGGCGTCTGGATGTAACATGATTTAACAATGATTTAACCATCAAACATGGCATTTGAGCCATACAAATGGATATCCAACAAATATGGAAATTTGCACTGGGATCACGTCCGGTGTTGACCCTGTAATCTTATAGTATAATATATTTGTACCACGTTTATGGTTCTATACCTAAAGCTCTGGGTATACGAAATGATGGGACGAAGCTCATTTCAATAGCATTCAGGCGCACCAGCAGTGCTTGCAACCGAGACACCGCAAGTTTGCTACTGGCATCAATCCTGATTGTCCAACAATTGGGTGCCCCCACCTCTAGTACAGTAACGAAGCTATATTCTGTAGATGGAGCATTTAGTTCGATGATGTTCCTATCGAAACAGTGCTCTGTTAGTTTACCAGAGTGTTACTGTGGATAAATATAACCAACAATGTGGGGGTTTGTCTCAGCCATTGTACGGGAATGTTTCATGGGATATACATAACTTGAACCCATTAAATCTAATGCAAATTATCACGCTTTGTCATAATGCTCCCCATTCAAAGGGCATGTTTGATAGGTATTCTCCATTGTTGAGACAAACCCGTAGTTCCATCAACTATATCCAATGAACTATGTCTAAAAGAATTGTTCCTCAATGCCCCTATGACTTTGTTGCTCAAATATCAATGTTTCATTGGTTTGGACCCGGTTTAGACCCGTTTATTGAACTTTAAACTATCATTTGTGGTTGTCCAATCCCACGTTTATGGCCTTAATCCCTGTAGTTCTGGGTAAATTCCCACGTCTGATCATGTTTCATGGTTAACAATACAATGATTTTGTGGATTCATCCAAAGCAACACACATATTCATGCTTATACACTTTGTACTTGTATATATATATATATGTGTATCTGGGTGAATTATAATATTTCACTAACCTGAAATAAGGCCATTTGGGGATGATTCCCCTTACTATCCATGATTCCAGTGAGGTCGCAGTGAGGTCGTTATAATTTACCCATATATATATATATATATATATACGTATACCCTCCAGTAAACTAACATAGATGCGGAAAATCCACGATGTGTAGATTGTTTTCATAGGGCTTCGCCATGGGGTTTCCAGATCTATGTGAGTTACCCTCCGGTAAACGTTTGCAGAAAGCTATTGAAAATGGCCCGGTCGAAATAGTTGATTTATCCATTAAAATGATGATTTTCCATAGTAATGTTAGTTTATATTCATTCGAAATAGTTGATATATCCATTAAAAATAATGAAGCCAAGGGGGGGGTGCATTGATGCTGATCTCACTCTTCGAGCCGCTCGGGCATCAGCATCTTCATCACCGAAGAAGTGTCCACGGGACTGAAATCATAGAGACCTGAAGGGAGTGGGATATTTTATGGGCTATTTGATGCGGATATCAACAGTTTATTTCAATAAATGAGAGATATAGTATGATATAGTGGAATTTTTGATGGGTTATAATACTGGAATACAATGGGGGTTTGAATGGGTATATAATATATATTATATACACGTACTTTTTTTTATCTATATTCAACCCACTTGTTCCAACTAGTTTGGGGTGTAGGACTAAGATTCTACAAATATCTGTGACCCCCATAAGTTGGGATATAACCACTATAAAGGGTGTATACTCGATGGCTTGTGATGGTTTTATATTGGATTCATGTTGTGATATCAATAAACCTTGGAGCAGATGGTGAGATATCAATGGCGAAAGGCAGTTCGTAGAGGCTTAAGAAACTGTCATTTTTCGGATTCATGGGGATATCGTAGCTCAGATGCTCAGGATGAACGAAACAAACCAGTCAAGAAGTCTTCAATGGATTGATACATGTTTCGTAAAATCTAAGAAAAATGGTGAGAACCACCAAATACTTGGGGATTTCATCAAGACCACCAAACATGTTGTTCAGCTTCGGCTCCTTTTTTGGGAATAAACACATCGTTTTGGTTGGCTCTACTCGATCAAGTTCAATCCCCAATTTTGACATATTCCGCACAAAGTGTCTCCGAGGAACACCTTTCCCCAGTGTCTCTGTTCAAGAAGGCCAGGCCAGAATGGTAGGCATTCCACGGCGCAGAGTCCAAAACCCACTGGGCCAGGAGAAACTCCGCATAGTAGACCTGACTGTTCAGGTCCATGGTCGAAGTTCAATGGAGGCCCTCTAGGACCATACCTCCAATGTCATCCACATCTGCTGAATGGCGGTTTAATGATGATTCTAGTGTTTTTTTCATGATTTGACCAGCCAAAAATGATATCATGGGGATATTCAAGGGACATACACTCCGGTAATCAAACATAGCAACCTGTGACATCCCCTGAATGAAGGTTTACAGTTCGCTGGGAAAATCATTAATGTTGGCACCCGATTAGTAGGATGGTACTCTATTGTGGCAATTGTGTTTCTCCTTATTCAGTTCCATGATGTTTGGGGGGGGCCTCTATTGTGGCAAGTTGTTTTCAGATTGTTTTTATTTTTATTTTTGTTTGCATTTTTTTGATTCACAACTTTTTGTGTGTGTGTTTTTTACTATTTTTCCTTTTTTTGAATTTATCTTGAAATTAATTAATAATGTTCTTCAGTTTTCTTAATTTGTTTATTTATTTATTTATTGTTTTAAATTAAAGCTTTCAAATGCAAAGTTTCCAAATAATTAGATGCCTTGTTAAACCCTTATTTAAAAAACAGCATCCAAACAATTGTTCAAGCAGGTACCTCATGAGTGGCTCAGTTACTCAATAATAGGAATGTTTGGATGGTACTCTATTGTGCCCAACAACTTTTGGGGCTGAAAAAATCAAAAACCTTCTCCACCTTTCTTTGAGTAAAGCTGGTCCATTTACTTTAGAAAACCATATTTGTGTTGAAGCTTTAAAATGCAATGTTTTCCAAATAACTAGATGCCTTATTAAACCCTTTCTAAAAAACCGCATCCAATCAATTTTTCAAGGGGGTACCTCATGAGTGGCTCAGTTACTCAATAATAGGAATGTTTGGATGGTACTCTATTGTGCCCAACAACTTCTGGGGTTGAAAAACACCAAAACCATTTCCCCACCTTTCTTTGAGTAAAGCTGGTCCATTTACTTTAGAAAACCATATTTGTGTTAAAGCTTTAAAATGCAAGGTTTTCCAAATAATTAGATGCCTTATTAAACCCTTTTGAAAAAAACGCACCCAAACAATTTTTCAAGGAGGTACCTCATGAGTGGCTCAGTTACTCAATAATATGAATGTTTGGATGGTACTCTATTGTGCCCAACAACTTTTGGGGTTGAAAAAATCTAAAACCTTCTCCACCTTTCTTTGAGTAAAGCTGGTCCATGTACTTTAGAAACCCATCTTTGTGTTAAAGCTTTAAAATGCAATGTTTTCCAGATAGTTAGATGCCTTTTGAAACCCTTATCAAAAAAAACAGCATCCAAACATTTTTTCAAGGGGGTACCTCATGAGTGGCTCAGTTACTCAATAATAGGAATGTTTGGATGGTACTCTATTGTGCCCAACAACTTCTGGGGTTGAAAAACACCAAAACCATTTCTCCACCTTTCTTTGAGTAAAGCTGGTCCATTTACTTTAGAAAACCATATTTTTGTTAAAGCTTTCAAATGCAAGGTTTTCCAAATAATTAGATGCCTTTTGAAACCCTTTCTAAAAAACCGCATCCAGACAATTTTTCAAGGGGGTACCTCATGAGTGGCTCAGTTACTCAATAATAGGAATGTTTGGATGGCACTCTATTGTGCCCAACAACTTTTGGGGTTGAAAAAAATCAAAAACCTTCTCCACCTTTCTTTGAGTAAAGCTGGTCCATTTACTTTAGAAACCCATCTTTGTGTTAAAGCTTTAAAATGCAATGTTTTCCAGATAGTTAGATGCCTTTTGGAACCCTTATCAAAAAAACCGCATCCAATCAATTTTTCAAGGGGGTACCTCATGAGTGGCTCAGTTACTCAATAATAGGAATGCTTGGATGGTACTCTATTGTGCCCAACAACTTCTGGGGTTGAAACGCGCCAAAACCCTTTCCCCACCTTTCTTTGAGTAAAGCTGGTCCATTTACTTTAGAAAGCCATCTTTGTGTTTAAGCTTTCAAATGCAAGGTTTTCCAAATAATTAGATGCCTTTTGAAACCCTTATCAAAAAACAGCATCCAAACATTTTTTCAAGGGGGTACCTCATGAGTGGCTCAGTTACTCAATAATAAGGAATGTTTGGATGGTACTCTATTGAGCCCAACAACTTCTGGGGTTGAAAAACATCAAAACCCTTTCCCCACCTTTCTTTGAGCAAAGCTGGCCCATTACTTTAGAAAGCCATATTTGTGTTAAAGCTTTACAATGCAAGGTTTTCCAAATAATTAGATGCCTTATTAAACCCTTTCTAAAAAACCGCATGCAAACAATTTTTCAAGGGGGTACCTCATGAGTGGCTCAGTTACTCTATAATATGAATGTTTGGATGGTACTCTATTGTGCCCAACAACTTTTGGGGTTGGAAAAAACAACATAACCCTTGAAAATAAATTGAAAGTAAATTGAAATCAATTGAAAGTAAATTGAAATCAATTAAAAGTAAACTGAAATCAATTGAACTCAATTGAAAGTAAATTGAAATCAATTCAAAGTAAATTGAAATCAATTGAAAATCAATTGAAAGTAAATTGGTTTCAATTGAAAGTAACTTGAAAATCAATTGAAAGTAAATTGGTTTCAATTGAAAGTAACTTGAAATCAATTGAAAGTAATGAAATCAATTGAAAGTAAATTGAAATCAATTGAAAGTAAATTGAAAGTCAATTGCAAGTAAATTGAAAGTAAAATGAAAGTAAATTGAAATCAATTAAAAGTAAATACCCGCAAAAAATGTGAAGGGGGGGGGCGGAAAAAAACTGCTAATTATTCAGTAGACAAAAGTAGTTTGAGGGGGGGGCGGGGCCTCCTCACACTAATCAGACGCCAACATTAAATGGAATATGTTCCAGCAAACCATGTTTGATGACACCGGAGGCTAATTCCATCTGACTAGCGAGTCTGGGTTTTGTTTGGCAACTTAGCTATCCTTTGGGGCCGCAGGTACGATTCAAATCTTTAGTTGCCATCCATTTCAGTTATTCAAAGATTTCCGAGAATCCCATGGATTCATCAATCCCACAGACGTGCCGAAGGATGCCGAAGGCAAAATTTGGGTCCAGTCGGCAATTTCCAGAGGGAGACTGATGAGGAAAACCCAATGGGAGAGTGGTGATTTCCCCGGAATTTTCAGATACCCTCCGGTGTCATCAAACGTGGCTAGGAAATTCACTATAAATTGAGGTTTGATGGGAAAATCATCCACAAATGCTGGAGTTGCCATTGGAACGTTTAAATAGCGGGTGCATTCACTTTCATGTGGTAAGCCCAACTGTAGCATGCCCCACAACACATCTGGTCGTCTTAACCAACCTTTTTGGGGGGTGAGTTTGAGCCATTTCCATTGGTAGCAAAACTTAGGGCTGAACAAACTATTAAACAAGTTAATTGGACTGTTACCCTGATTGTTTGGTACATGGGTACTTCCCGGGTTAAGATATAATATGGTATAATCACTAAAATATTGGCAAGTATGTTTCGGTGTGTTCAATTCTAAATCAGGACTGCAAGCATGCTAGCCTACTAGCCCATTTGGCAAAGCACCTGGCCTTATCAAACCATCAGGCTGACGTTTCCACGCACCAAAAAACACCAAATTCTGATTGGGCAAGAATAAACATGAAAACCAGTAGCGAAATAAATTTGAACAATGTTAAAAAAAACATCTGTCATTCCATGAAATACTGCTTCGTTGATAGGGTTCTCATGATGGCTTGTGGTAACCCCCAAGTCATATTGGGTGGTGCACGCCCCCTAGCCAATCATCAATCAACCATCATTTATCACTTATATCCAGTATTATCCACTTATGTCTTGTTGTATCCCAATATGTTCATGATCAAAACAAGAATGACTATATAATCATGAATTTTCGGGGTCTCGAGCACTGCTCAAATGGTTAGTGGCAATCAAACATAGCAATTGAATATACTAAATGGATATAAATGGATTCTATGTAGCTGGAAAATCATGGAAACTGGGTTCTAGCAATCCACTTTTATTGACACCGGTCAAGTATATCGCCCCCTGTAAGCACCCTTCCGCCTCAACGGTCGAACTCTGCTCCCAGTGCAGCAACTGCCGCGCATGGAAGACGTTCTTCGCTGCGGTCAAGCTCGAGCGATGGTCGTCGGCCACAGTAGTCACCTTCGTGGGAGATATGATAGGTGCCATGATTGCGAAATCGCTACATGGGATTTATATTATTATATGGATTTCTGGGACATATTCGCCCGGAATAGTAATAATAATACTGTAGGGAATGTATATGTATATATGTATATGTATATATATATATGTGTACATATATATATATATATATGTGTATAAATATATGTGTATATATATATATATATATGTATATATATATATATCTGTATATATATATATATATGTATATGTATGTGTATATATATGTATATATATATATGTATATATAATATAATATAATATAATATAATATAATATAATACAATACAATAAAATATGATACAATACAATATAATATAATATAATATAATATAATATAATATATAAAATAATATATATATAATATATTATATATTAAATTATATATTAAATTATATATTAAATTATATTATATTATAAAATATCATATTATATTACATGTTATATAATATATTATATTATATTATATTGTATTATATTATATTATATATCATATTATATTATATGGGGATTAAATAGGTATATGGTTATCATGTATATATATACACGAAAAAAAGGTGCCTACGTAAGGGGATGTGACACTGTATAGTCTGAACATGTCTGAAACATGACACAATACTCTTGATGGAGATATGATGAGATATGCATATTTCATATTTCATTATTCCTGTAAACCTTGAATCAAGACATGAAGCTTGGGGGGAGTAAATCCAAACATGTTGGCAAAAGCATGTCACTGTGTGGGCATTGATGAGCACAATGCTGGGATATCAAAGATCTGGCAAGTTTCTAAAAGAAT